GACCCCTCAAAGGGGGTGAGAAAGTAATCCCCAGTGGTGAGCTCCAATGCAAGACCTCCCTCCCCAGGACTTGTCACTTTGGCTAGCACTGGTGATCTTCTTCAGCAACCACTTGCAGTTGAGGATGATTATCTTCCATGCTTGTCTTAGCTGTATGTCCAAAGATGGGTGACGAGTCTGATCTGAGATTGACCGGTTCTGTTGCAGTTGATGATAGGGCCCCTGAAGCAAAATAATGACCACTGGCAGCAAGGATCAACAGCAAAGGAGTGGCAGGGACCTCACGATGGTCCTCCCTACCCAGCACCTCCCATTTTTGGATGCATAGGTGCATAGGTAATAGAACTCCTGGGAAGCAGCTCTGACTGAGTCTCCCTTCCTAGAAGACGATGTTAAGAGGTAGTACTCGTGGGTTAGACTGGTGGTGATTCAGACAGACTGTTAACTGTTTGTAGCTTCAGCTAATTCTTATTTGAAAATAAAGATTTTTAGGGTTGTATTTTCATTTTTCCCCTTAAAAAAACCCCTGTTATAGTTGAATTTTGCTTGTGGGTGGGGACATGTGTTCCCTTTGGAATACACAATAACACTTTATTTTGCCAAGTTTCTGGAGAGGAACTTGAATCCAAATAGAAAGTTTGCACAATGCCCTGAATTTGAACCTGGCCCTTGCTACTGCTGTCCAGTGCCTGGCAGAAGGGTTGCAGTTGTGCTGTGCTCTCTCATCTGGGCTACTTTGCCCACCCCCCACTACCACTCTGGAGAAACAAAGGTATAACAAACAAGACTGCGACTGGTGCATCCTGGTACTTTCAAAGTGGCTTCACCCTTTCTTCCTTCTGTAATGTCTTGAGCTAGATCCAAAGGCTCTTACGTGGGGCATAAGTGCTGGGGCATAAGTGCACAGCACTGTGCATGGGACATAAGTAAATCCCTAAGTCCAAGATCACCATCTTGAAAATCCTATTTCTCATGCTGCCTCACTCAGGCTGGAGGCTTCTAAACCGTACACGCAACACAGGTTATAGAGCAGCTGAGCAGTGACAGTCCTCAATATTCAAATTCCATATGTGACATTTTTTGTTTGCACGCACTACTTGGAATCCATAAACTGTATGTTCATCTAGGTGCTTCTCTTCCTTAAGCTCTCTCCTCTGAAGGTTTCCTGCAGTTGGCATTCTTTAGGCATGCCTATCATGTGCCTCACAGGTCAGACCCAATGAAAAACAAAATGGTAGCTATCCCTTCCTTTCAAATGTTCCCTTTTGTACAATATCTTGGTGCTTAGAGAAGTTGGTGATGTCAGTCCAATTCCTTAAACTACCTGAGAGGATTTAAATCCCTCACCCCGCTTCCACTGGCTTAGAAAGGCTCATGGCTGGACAACTGCTTAGGCTTTGTGTCCATACATATAAATATCCTGGGCACGTATTTACACATGTGGGGAAGTGGCAGCAGATTTGCTGCTTATGGTAGCAGTCTGCTCCCGCCCCCACCAGCCCTGCACCAGGCCCCTGAAGCAGCTGGGGGAGCTCTAGTCTCCACCTTGGTGCTAGCCCAGGGGCTGGCATGAAGCACAAGGCCAGGAGACAGCTGTCTCATGGTGGGGGCTGGGAGATTGCTTCCTGGCCCTGGAAGCTGCCTGTTGCTGGGGCGGGCTGTGCCACTGGAGCCTGCGCAGGAACAATGCCCCCCTGCACCAGCAGCAGGGAGATCCCAGCCCCTGCTCCGTGATTGCTCCCAGCCCCCTGCTGCCAGGGCAGGGGGACATTGTCCCTGCCCAGGCTCCAGTGGCGGAGCCTGCCCTGGAAGCAGGCAGATCCCAGGAACAGGGAGCAATCTCCCTCCCCCTCCTGTCCTGGTCCCAGGACAGCATTTGTCCCGGATTTGCGGTGTTGTACTGGGATTCTGGTTTTTCTGCGGGAAACAGCATGTTTCCCTTTGTAGGCTAGCAGCACTCCAGCCTGCAAGGGGCTACTTGGGGCTTCTGGGAGCAGGACTCAGGAGGCGCCATGTGTATGTCTGGGGAATGGGGAGGGGGCGGCTCCCTGCCACTGTGCACACTCCCTGGGAGGGGCACTAGGATCCATGTGCCCCACCAGATTTCTGCGTCGGACAGGGGTGGATGTGGCCCTCCCTCTGGGAGCCCCATGCTGGCTGTGCTGCCCTGCCCACGCAGCAGCAGTGGGGTAGTGGCAGTGTAGAGTTGTGCCCCCTACTGCTGCTGGGTGAGCAATGGGTGCCTGTCTGGCATGGATGTCCCAGAGAAAAATCAGCATGGTGAGGAGCCCCAAGCCAGCAGCAGGCAGCCCACATCCCTCCTCACCCTGCACTCCACTTGGCAGTGCTCCAGCCATGTTGCTGGCAGAGGGGGCGGGAAGGGAGAGGTGAGCATGTGTCCCACCTTTCCATTTGGAAAAGGTGGTCACCCTATCCGCTTGCAGAGGTGTGCCCCAAGTGATGTCCCACATAGTTGGGCTCCTTCCACTCCCAGAACAGCAAGGGCTAGCCCTGAAGGACCACAGGCCCATCTGTTTCACTTAGTGAAGTGAAACAGTTGGGCCAGAGCACATCCTGGCACCGCTTACCCACTTCAGTTCATAGATTCATAGATGCTAGGGTCAGAAGTGACATCAACAGGTCATTGAGTCCGACCCCCTGCCTGGGCAGGAAAGACTGATGGGATCAGATGACCCTAGCCAAATGCCTATCCAGTTTTTGACATCTGTTTACATCCTAAGCTAAACCGTTTCTTGCCAGGCACAACATATTAGTGAGGACCTTGGGATCTGTGAGTCTCCTGAACTGTATGTAGTGTTTAGGAGCAGGAGGGGCCTTCCACAGAGCTTACTCATTTCCTCTTTTATGTATTAAGGGATCTAAGCAGTGCCCTAAAGATACCAACTGTCTTTTTCTCCTAACTGCTAGAAAGATTTAGATGAGTATAGGGGCAGCTGCACACTGGCAAAGTATATGTGCAGGTCACATATGCTGTCATGATGGCTGGACTGGACGTGGAAGTTATCACAACTTATTGTTCACAGAATTTTTATTTTTATTTTTGCATTCTGTTTTCTTCCACATTTGCAGTTATTTTTCTTTTTTAATTGTCAAAGGTCTCGGGAGTGGGGGGACTGTGTCTGCTCCCCCCCCCCAAAAAAAACAAACCCCAAACCCTCCCCTTTTATAGTTGCTGCCTGCAAATGTGAAACACAAAATGTATGTTACAAATATTTTATACTTCCTTCCACTGCAGGGAGCATTTTAAAACTGGAAGTGTATCACACAGCATCCACCATCCTAGTTCAGGAAAAGTGAGTTCTCAGCTCTCCACATCTGCTGGTGAAATCTGCTCTGGCAATTTCCTGAAAGAAAAAAAGGCCAATTCATGTAAAAAGAGAAAGTAAAAAGAAAGAAAGGGAAGAGAGTAATTGATCCAGAGACTCATGCAGAGGGCTTGGGATCTGTCTCATAGAGTGTAAGACAGACTCTATTGGACAGGGTTTCGTTTCCTCCTCCTGATTCTTCTTCAAACCTTTAATCTTGTGTATACAGTGCACACAATCCTGGTACCACTTGGTAGATAACTTTACAGTGCACAACCAAATTATTTCACTTAGCATTTGTAATTCCTGTGACTTTTGCCAAGCTACATAACCTACTTGTGCACAATGGCACAGGATGGCTCAATCAGTGATAGTGGAAAAGGATACCTCTTAAGTTTGTCTAAAGCCTGTCAATACCCTTGAAATAGTAGAAAGTAGAGGTCTCAGACAGCTGCAAAATGGGTGAAGAACACTCTAGGTGTGGACAAGCATATACTTGAAATGGCTTGAAAATGAGAAGGGAAGTTGCTGCTTGGGACTGTGCAGTAACTCTTAAGATCTGTTACTTGTGCCGGATGCTGTAGTGATGCAAGCGAGCTAAATTGCCCCGAGTGTAACCCCTCTTTCTGAAACATTACAAGTGAGCATCTCTCCATACCTGCTATGCCATGGGCTATCTCCTCTTTTAATGATTTCCAACAGTATTTTTGAACCTATACACTTATCAGATAAAGGTACTTGTGTTTCCTTAATGCTTTTGTTTCCTCATAGGGATTTCTAAGATGGCAGTTTCCAAACAACACTTACTGGATTGGATTTTCATTTAAGAGAGACAGGAATGGCTGGATTTGGGAGGACAACACACCTCTTACTCCAGCACAGAAGAATATGTAAGTTTAGTGAACCACCTTTTCACCTGAGAACTCCCACAGTTGGGCTGAGGTCTTTCTGGGGCATGAGCAGGTACCAGTGGAGATGTGCTGCTTCACTAAGCCATTGCACAATCCCCACCACCACCAGTAAGAAGCAACTTCCAGCCCAATGCAACCCTCTTTCCACCTGCCAAACACTCCTAACTGTCTCTTCTCTGCTTAAGGTGGGAAACAGCACAGCTCCTCAGTGACAGACTGGAAAGCCATAGCATGTGCATTATTTCATTCTCCATGGCACTGGGGGAACAGGAGTGGCAAGGCTATGAGTGAGACCCTTGTTGCTTGCAGCATTAATGTTGTGCATGTCACCAAGCTCCCCCTGAGGCTGTTAGTATGGCACCAGTCTCTCACCGCTTTTACATCTGCTACTTGCTCAAAACACCAGAGGCTGGATCCAGGCAGCTGGAAGCTGGTGCTTTCCGTAGTTAAGTGGATGAGTCAGATTTATTTCATCCTTGGGTTCCACCTCTTGAAGCTGATAAGTGCTGTAATTATATTTTAGCCAGGCACTCTCAAGTTCTTCAACAGTTTAGTGAAGCCTTATTTACTATGGCTTAAACAGTTGTTATGGTGCTGGCCCTGTGTAATATGGTTTGTACAGCTACATACACGCAACCTTTTTGTGGTGGAATCAGCTGTATAGAGATGTGTCCCACCCAATACAACTGATCTGATTGACTGGTAGAGACAGGTGTCATCCAAGGCCATTCTCTAGCAGAGTTGGGCCCCCACTGCTTGCAGGGCTTCAGGGGCCCGAAGCCAAAGCACACATTTGCAGGCATGGACCTGAGAACCCCATGGGATTCCCTCACTCTGCAACATGAAATGCATGTTTTTGAAATCCCCCTGTAAGAGATTCCTGGGGCATAGCTCTGCAAGTACAGAGCAAGGAATCCATGGATCCACTGCAAGGGAATTCCCTTGGGTGCTCTCTGGTTGGGACCAGGCACCTGGGGCCATTTTTCCTGGGGATCAGGCCCCTGAAGGTCTGAGAGTATCTGCCTAGGGTAGCTGGACAGCATGGATGCAGTGGTTTGCCTAGAAATAGTACCGTAAGTGAACAAGCATCCTCCCTGATCCAGTGGCATAAATTATTACTAGGAATCATCACACCACAATTGTATGGTATTTGCAGCACTATAAAAGGCAGGGCTATCTGGTTCCTCAGGTTTTGTGCCATAAGAACTTTTCTGGTGTAATAAGGGTGTATCTGTTTGTAGTGTGTCATGATATAACAAAATAATGCTTTTTTTCTCTAGGTTCGCTCTTTACAAGGAGTATCCCTGTGCATGCATTTCTTCATTACTTGCTCATAGCACTGACTGTAACAAGAAAAATAACTGGATCTGTGAGAAGGCAGCCTTCCAGCTGAGCTAACATAATCAGTGCAAGGAAGATTAATTTTCAATATAATAATGATTATTTATTAAAGGTTGCAACATCCTCTCTACACTGGGCATTTATACTGCTATAACTAACAGTCAACTGGCACCAGATTTATTGGTGAAATGATTAGCTATTAGCAAAGCAGTATGCTGTGTCTTCTACACTGGTTTTCTTTTGTTACTGAAAAGTTTTCAAAAGCAGTGCTGAATGAGTCACTCTTGGAATCTCTGTCTTCATTGTTGGAGAGAGTCTTTCAAATAGTCACATTCCTGAGGGAGTGCACACAGCATGGAGCATATGACCCTACAGAGAACACGCCAGATTTGTTAGTCCACATCTGTAATGAGCAGCAGCTGCCAAAATGAAATGGCAAATGCCATAGAAGTAGACTGACCATATGGAAATCCAGGAAATTCTGGACATCTCACAATGCTCTCACAAGTTGGCTGGGGTGGGGCTACATGCCAAGCAATCAGTGGTGCCTGCCTGCCTGCCTGCAAGGTGCTCCACACCATTTCAACTCCTGGCCAGACTGCACCCCATGCACCTGTGTTTCTGGGACACCCATTATAATGCCCAACACCCAGCCTGGCCCAGGCTCTGAAATCCAGAACTGCCTCGCTAAAACAGGACATATGGTCACGCTACAGAAAAGTCAGCGCATAATATAATTTGGATATTTAAAGAGCTATAAGGTCTTAGCTTGTTTTTCCAAAAAAAAGTCTTCAATAAGGTTGATCCCTGTTGCCTATTTCCTGGAGGTCATATGTAAGGTAACTTTATGAAACTCAAGTGAGGAGACTTTGGCTGCTCCAGTTTGGAAGTCTACTCCACATTCCTTGTAAATGTTCTGCTACAAAGCATTTCCTAGTCACTAAACTAAGCTTTTTACTTTTGCACAGATATTTAATGCACTGCTTATACTCCCTTAAAATCCTAACCAAACCCTCAACCTGTTCAGTATTTACACTCACCAACAGTGGCGACGTGTAGGGGGTACACAGGGGTGCACGTGCACCCCCTGAGAGCACTGGTACACCCCCTATCAGGCCGCACTCCCTGTTTAGGCAATGGGCAGGGAGGCAGGTGGGAGTGCCAGTGCCCCCCCGCCTTGCAAGTGCCTGCCAGGGAGTGGGGTCATCAGCAAAAGCGGCCACGCCGCTCGTGGAAGTGGCTGCGGGACTCAGTGAGATCGGCTGCTGGGGGACCACCCCCGCCTCCCTCTGTCACCCCTGGTCAGTGAGATCAGCCGCCAGGGGACCCCTACCCTGGTCAGTGACTTTGGCTACCGGGGGACCCCCCTGGGTTGCTGACTGGTTTGTGGGGGGCACCAGTAGCCCATGTTTACCAATATCTCCCAAGATACTTTACCTCTCCTTTAATCATTCTGTAGGAAAGAAAGTGTATAGATTATCTATAGTCCTTTCTCAAAAGATACTCTCTTTACTATACTACCAGCGATACTGTAAGGGCAACTGAAAAGACATTTTGAATGTCATGTATAGAAAACCTCTGGAATTCATTTCCTTGGGACAGAAGAATGTCAAATAGGGAACCTCATTTGCAAATGAGCTAGACAATGGTAGCACCAAATTCTGTTTGATTTATGCAAATTTAAACAAGGAGAATAAATGGATTTCTCCAATGACTTCTGCCTGGATCTACTCTTGAAATCACTTGCAGCTATCAGGTGATGAAGAATATACCTTCATAGTCACTTATATTTGGAATGGAGCAGGCTTATTTGTTCTGTACTCCAGAGGTCATACATGTTTCCAGGCTCAGCCTAGGGTGTTCAAGCTAGTTCAGCAAAGCCTCTTGGATTAGATGGTGTGGGCATTATAGACTAACATAATGGGCAGAAATGAAGTAGGTCTTAATGTAGAATTTAGTTTCTTGGAATATTTGTGTATAATTGCCTTGAATTCTTTTTTATACCACTCTACATGGATATTCACTATTTTGTTATTTGTATCTTTTGTATTTTATATGCTGTTTAATTGTAGCTCCACCAGTTTTTATAACTAAAACTATTATTTTCTACTTCTGTGGAAGCTCCTTTTTGAGGAATAGGAAGTCCTCATGCCTGATTGTGAAATGAAACCAGGGGTGGATGATTGTAGGATCATAGGAAAGTAGGGCTGGAAGGGACCTCATAGTTTCATAATTTCACAGTTGGTAAGGTCGGAAGGGACCTGAGCAGATCATCAAGTCAACCCCCTGCCATGGGCAGGAAAGAGTACTGGGGTCAAATGACCCCGACTAGATGATTGTTTAGCCTCCTTTTGAAGACCCCTGGGTAGGAGTGAGCACCACTTCTCTTGGAAGTTGGTTGCAGATCGTAGCTGCCCTGAAAGTGAAGTAGTGCTTCCTGATGTCTAGCCTGAATCTGCTGTCAGACAACTTATGGTCGTTGTTCCTTGTTACTCCTGGTAGTGCTCGGGAGAACAGGGACTCTCCCACTGCCTGCTGGTCCCCCTTGGCCATATTGTAGATGGCCACCAGATCCCCTCTCAGCCTTCCCTTGTGGAGGCTGAACAAGTTCAGGTCCCGTAGCCTCTCCTCATAGGGCCTGCCCTGCTGCCCCCGATCATGCAAGTGGCCCTCCTCTGGAGCCTCTTGGTGCCATCCACATCCCTCCTGAAGTGCAGTGACGCATAGAGGGGGAGGATCACCTTCTTGGAACTGCTCATGATGCATCTGTGGATGCATGACAAGGTGTGGTTAGCCTTCCTGACTGCATCCCCACATTGGCGGCCCATGTTCATCTTGGAGTCTATAATGACTCCTGTAGTTAAACTGCTGGTTCTTCCTCCTCAGGTGCAATACCTTGCACTTGTCAGTATTGAATCCCATCTTATTCTCATCCGCCCACCCCCGTAACCTTTCCAGATCCAATTGCAGCCCATCCATCCATTGTAGTGTGCCCACTTCTCCCCACATCTTAGTGTCATCTGTGAATTCAAACAAGGTGCTTTTCACCCCCTTGTCCAAGTGGCTGATGAAGACGTTGAACAGAGAGGGCCTGAGGACCAAGCCCTGGGGATCCCACTGCCTACATCCCTCCAGGTCAAAAATGACCCATCCACCACCACTCTCTGGGTGCGGCCCTCCAGCTAATTGGTGACCCATCTGACTGCGTAGGCATTGACACAACAATCCCTTAATCTTTTTATGAGAATGGGGTGAGAGACAGTGTTGAACGTCTTCCTAAAATCAAGAAAGACTATTTCCACCGCGAAACCTTCATCGAAGGATTTTGTGACCTGGTCATAGAAGGCCACCAGGTTGGTCTGACAGGACCTGCCTCTAGTGAACCCATGTTGAATCTCCCCTACTGGTCCCTCGTAGATATGCACCTGGATAATTTTCTCAAAGAGCTTCCCCAGGACCGACGTAAGACTAACAGGCCTATAATTTCCTGGGTCCTCCTTCCTCCCTTTTTTGAAAATGGGGACCACATTGGCCCTTTTCCAGTCCTCTGGCACCTCTCCAGAGCACCATGAGTGCTCGTAAAGCCATGCCAGGGGTTGCGCAATGACCTCTGCTAATTCCCTCAGGACTCTGGGGTGGAGATCATCAGGACCTGCTGATTTGAACACGTCCAGTCCCACCAGAAGTTCCCTGACTAGGTCCTCACTGACCCTGGGCCTGGCTGCGCCTCCCCTGGGACCATCAGGGAACCCAGTGGGGGGGATGACCTGGTCCCTGCTCAGAAAAATGGAGGCAAAGAAACTGTTAAATAGGTTAGCTTTGTCATCTGGTGCGATGACCAGATTTCCTAGCGTATCCTGCAGAGGCCCCACATTACCCGGAAACTTCTTTTTACCTGCTATGTATTTAAAAAAGGATTTCTTGTTATCCTTGATCCAAGTTGCTAGTTCCAGTTCCATCTCCACCTTGGCCTCACAAGGTCATTTAGTCCAGCCCCCTATCCAAGGCTTTTGAGAGAGGCAACAGCATGGGCACTGGCCCATGGGACACTGGCATATCAAAGTGCCACAAAGAAGGGAGGGCGGGGGGCGGAGCTGCAGCTGGACCCATATCCTGGTGAGTGAAGGGGGCAGGGGGAGCTCTGATTTTCTATGATTAAAAAGCCAAAATCAAATGCCAAAATATATAGGTATTTAGAATTTATTTTATTATAATGATTGTGGCACTGGTAGGCTTCCAAATTGCTTTAAAATTTTAAATATACCATTTAAACTTTGTATTCAACTGATACCTATATATGTAGTGGTTTCATTTTAATCATGGAAAAACACAGATTTTGGGGGTTTTAATGAGAGAATTTTGGATTTTTGAACAGAGAAAACCAGGATTCCTGCATATTAATTGGTTTATTGACACATTGAGACTAAACTGTTGATAGTATATGCTTCTTTTAAAAGCCACAGGCCTTACTCTCATTTATTTATCCTTTCTCTTTTATTCCTTTTTTTCCCCTCCTTTCTTCCTCATGCATTTCCTTCCATTGACACCCTGCTAGGTTCCACTCCATCTGCTTTCTATTCCATCTGCAGTGACATCATTCATTCTGGCATCAAAATATTATTCATTGGTTCCACTGGACAGAGAGCATTTGTGCCTGCTACGAGTGAATTTACAGTCTTGCAAACTCAAGAACACTAAACACTGGGTGCACCTACACATGCAATTAGTGCTATGTGGTTTTACTGAGCAGTAATTTATTGCAGAGTAAACCTACCCTGGGCTCATGTCTACATGTGTGCCCATTTAGGAGCAGATTTTTTTTGCAAACCCTTTTTAAAAGCCAACCCCACGTACTGCTCCCTGGCCACCTGCCTTTCATACCCAGAGCAGTTTGCATCATGCTGGCACAGCCCTATGTGACTCTGTTGCTGGAGCCTGTGCCCACTGTTCCACCCCCAGACCCTAGGAGCAATGACCTCTGCCCTGGGTTCCTGCTTGCCACCCTGTTTGCCACACTTCACTGCTGCACTGACTGC